CTTTTAATAGAGATCTAACATGAAGAGGTATGTTATGAGATTCCTGCAGCTGTGTAAGGATTTATATCCCAAATGGGAGAATAAACAGTAGACGCCATTAAACCAATGGGTAGACCACCAGGGGAATTGGGAGGGTTCAGTGAAACCAGGGGGGAAGAGAGGACAATTCACGCCCCCTAAAGGTAAATGGAAGGAGATTAGCCTACCTGAATATTTGATGCTATCCCATATCGCAAGTGAATGAGCAAGGACAGGATTAAGATTCAAGTGGTGACTGGAAAAAGGCAACCAAATAAGAGATTGGAACAGGATGGTAATTGATGGTGTCCAGGGAAGCCCATAAAAGGAAGCTTGTGGGAAGAGTGAAAAAGAACCAAGGAGGCTAAGTTGGCTCCCTGATAGTAAGAACAAAGGTTTGGGACCACCAGGCTCCCCTTAGATATAGAACAATAAAGGACATGTTGGCTTAGTCTAGGTTTTGAGTAGCCCCAAATGAATGAAAGCATTTTGCGTTGTAGGATTCACAGCACATGACTCAGGAATAGGAAGGACTCTAAATACATACAGCAATTTAGGTAGGTAAAGCATTTTGATTGCATGGATTCTACCTATCCAAAAAATGTGATCATGATACCACAATTCTAAACGTTTATGCAGGAGTATCAACAAGGGAGATATTCATTGCATAGAGAGAAGTGTAAGAGGAAGTAAATGTGACACCTAAGTACTTCAGAGAGGAGACCCATTGAAATGTGAAAGAGTCAGAGAGACTGTGTAAGGTAAGAGCCGATGGGGATACATTCAGTGCCTGGGATTTTGATTTAGTCCAAAGGTTAACCTGGCGGTTTTCCCGAGTGTGGCTCGTGGTTAATTTCCAGTACCAAGAGCGGTAACCCTCGAGCCACACTCAGAATTGCGCAAAAGTGTCACTTACCTTGTCTCAGCGAGCCCGCGGTGTCCTCTGCTGTGTGCTCCCGGCCGATGCCGGCCTTCTGCGTTCTGTTTCGTTTTTGGGCGTCACAGCGGGGGAGGAGCTGGCGGGAAATTCAAAAGTGCAAACATGACATTTACACAGAATACACACAATACAATGTAATCTGCTATAATTACATATATGTATCAAACTATTTCACTTCAATTTTGTCCCTAGAGCTTTGTCTAGTGCCCTGCCTGCACTTTTACTGTACTCTATTGACTGTGGTACGGATCAGGCAGCACCCAGAATTCCCATTTACTGGACCATTCTTTTAATTATTATATTATATTTTTTTATAATTTTTTATTATATTATAAGCTTTCAAACTTTATCATACTGGGGATGTCTACTGGGCAGATTTAGGTGAGTTATTCCTAAGATTTACTAAGAATTACAGGCCTACAATATAAAACAACAAATTGCCATGAAAAACAATGTACCGTGTTGGCATGCTAAAATCCTGCATAATCATACCGCCAGGGAGGTTAAGGATGAGAGCAAAGTTATCCAAAACTTTAAAAAGGTTGGGAAGAGATACCTGAGGGGCAGTTAAGGACAATAGGATGTCATCGGCAAACAAAGAAAGTTTGTAATCAGTGCCAGCAAGTTCAATGCCTTTAATATCAGGATGAGACTGAAGGCGTTCCAAGTATAAAGAGCATTGGCGATAAGGGGCAACCTTGCCGGGTACCCCGAGCAATGAAAAAGGGCATGGGTTCAAAGCCCCAACATTTAAGCTTAGCCTGTGGATTCAAGTAGAGGAACTTAATCCAGGTGATAAAATGGTTCTCAAATCCCTGAGGACCCAGGACCTCAAATAGGTATGTCCAAGATAAGATCTCAAAAGCATTTGTTATGTCAAGTGAGAGCAAAATGAGTTCCTGGAAGTGAAGTTTAGCTAGATGCATCAGATGTAGAACATAGTGAATGCTATCATCAGCCGTGAAACCTGCTCAATCTTTTTTGATCAATGTCAAAGTAGTATTTTCATGTATAGTATGCATGCTTTTAGTCCCAAAGTGCATAACTGTACATTTATCAGCATTAAACCTTATTTGTCAATACATGTGTGACAAATCAGTGCTTATTTTAGGTTATAGACCAAGAAAGTAACCATGCATCTAGTCAAATCATGGTACACTATAAGCTTCCTCTAACACTTGGGAAACTTTTCCTATGTGTTATCTCAAAAATCAATGCCACAAATTTGTTGCAAACAAATAATGTGTATTTCTTAAATTTATTTGATTTTGGATTATTCATTTTATCCTCTCCCTCTAAGGGCACAATGAGAATGTGGTAAGGCTAACATATTGCCTGTCTGAGCCAACTGTTGGTAACAGACAGTCAAAACAAAGACCATGTAAAGATTGCATGAAAGAAAACTAAAGGTTGTTAGCTTGAATGGAGGAGTCTGTCAATTTTTTTCCTTCAGCCTCACAGGCTGAAGGAAAAAAATTCTCTCCATGTGTACGAAGCTTAAGAGGTGTCCAGAAGGGTCAGTCTGTCAATAGAGGAACTATGCCTAAAGTTAGCTATCAAATTAGGCTAAAAACAAATAACACTGGCCAACCAGGAATTTTGTTTGTTAGGTAATGTACGAAAAGGCTGTCTGGATAGGCTGAGAATGTTGAATGATGGATCTTATGTATATTATAAAGAGTTATATGCTGTACAGGATACAACTTCCTGTTTGCATCCTAAGACCATGCTGTTATGCTGTCTTGATTTTTCTGTGCCAAAACCTCTAATATTACAAAACACATCACACTTATTCTCTTTGCTTGACATATTCCTACTTCCAGAACATTTAATGTTGCAACATTTAAGTGACACCAAATATTAGGTTTCATATTTAATATAGGTGTTCTCTTACGGTTTTATGCAAATATTTTATATTAAAAATAACAGTAATGTTCAAGCGTAAGCAATCCTTCATTAACTATGACATTTCTGTAAAATTTCTAGGAGTAGTATTTGACATATGTGACATATTTGGCCCCTACTGGCTTTGCGGGACATGCTTGACTTCACTTTTCTTCAGCTATGCTTACTCTTTATTCAGGATCAGTTATCACTGTCTGTCTCTTCCTCCTTTCATCCTTCTTACTTTTTTGTTGTAGCTGTTTTCTCTTTTTTAATTTCACTCCACTCTCCATCCTACAACTGAACATGACTCAAAGGGGTTGATCTACAAAAGGCAAATAGACTGTTCACTTGGCAAGGGAATTTGCACCTTGCAGGAGGAAGTCCCCCTTATCAAAGTGAAATATCACCACATTCACCAAGCTAAGTGAAACTTCCCCTGCAATGTGCGACTTCCTTTGCAATGTGAACAGCCTATTTGCCTTTAGAAAAATCAACCCTAATTTTTCTATATTCTTTTTTATTTTCTTCACATTATTTATAAAATGAACTCTCCTTTCTTTACCTAAGCCACGTCCACAAACTGATAGATGGAACTTTTTTTCTGCCCCACAGGCATTCCTTATATTTGCCCCTGCTTGTTGTTAGACAGTTATGTAGCTTTTGCTAGCTTTGCTTAGAAACACTTACTACTGTAAAACAGGCAACAGTGGACTGTGCAATAGGTATCCAGGGAGCATGCCTTATGTAAGGCAGCAAGCTTGTCTACTTTTCTAACTTTTGGTGCCCACAAAGACCAAGGCACTCCAAGTGCCTTGACTGATGCTCAAATGCAACCTTTAAAACAATTCAGAATTACATTTTAAACACATTTTTTTCAAACCCTCCTATATTAATGTAGTACTGTAGACTTTGTTGTGCTATAAAGAAAGACTATAGTAGTAAGAAGATTTCTCCAGCACACCAAAGTCCTTTAAGATTTACCAAGTGTTCATTTATTCAGAACCGTGTTTCATGACACGGTACTGAATAAATGAACATTTGGTAATTCTTAAAGGACTTCTGTGTGATAGTGACATCTTCTTACTACTATTGCCTGGCGGCGCCATCCGTGGTCACTACGAGCACCCCCAACATTTGGGACATCCGATAAGGAGTGCAACAAGGTATCCATACACTATAAAGAAAGACAACACATTCCACATAGGGACACTACTCTTGGAATTTTGAAGCATCACTAAAAACAAGGCTTTCAATGTGTAGGGTTTCTGAAAGTGATTGAAAGTGGAATTCCTCTTTACGTCCTTCATTTATCAATATTTATGCCTATTCTCTTACAAGTGTAATGGGTGCCAGGACCTGGTGCAATATTGGATTGGTGCTAACTGCATCACATGCAATCCTCCTTCCTCCAAGAACAGGACCCAATTGCAGGAACAAGCTGGTAAATCTATTTGTATGAGCACAAGTAATTCTGATTGCCTGAGATGTTATTATTCTGGAGGAGATGAGACATGGCCCAACACTTGCAAGTGATCTTTAAAAATCCTTTTCTATGGGCATCTTTGGTCTGTGTTGCCCATAGCAACCATTTTAATCATTTAATTCACTTATACACTGGGAAAAGTTAAGCAACGTCTGACTGATTGCTTAGGGCAGACATCACTTATTTCAGATATTATAATAAATAGCCTCACCGTGGTGTCAATACTAGGAAATAATAGTGCATGTGCTATACGTTTTTGTAATATTCATAGGTTTGATTAGCTGCTGACAAGTATAAGCCATTCTGTTGTGTTTACCCATGCCAGTTGGCTCTACACATTTGGATTATTATTGAGAAATCCTGACAAATGTCATGCCTTTGCTGTATAAACTATACTTTGTTTAGGAACCCTGAGGTCTTCATTACATGTTATCATTAGGTAAATGTCATCCCTCCCTTAGAGAGACCAGAGACACATTACAGAACCACAGCTCAACAGCCTATAAAATGTTAACCTGAAAATTGAAGATTTACTTAACTAATCTGAACGAGGCTGTGAGCTTTACATATTGCAATATGCCTGCATGACTTTTTGATGTATTGACAGTGAGTTCATGCATAAATGACTCCTAGGTGTAAATATTTATTGTTTGTCCTTTTTCATTAACCTAGGTCTCTCCAGGACCTGTCAAGGCAGACAGAAATTCCTTACGGAACAGTATTAGACTCTGCGGTTTACGAGCATATGCGTGTGAAAGGGATGAATCCATTTGAGAGAGACAGCATGTATTCCCAAATGTGGCGTATGATTAACAGGAGTAATGGGACTGAGAACAATGTTCATGAATCTCAGGAAGGCATTCAAAAGGTGAAATATTTATTTTCTTATATCTAAATACATAAAGCTGAACTCTGGGCACAAATACTTCAATTCAAATTTATTTCTCAATACCCACAGAGGACAGAAATATACTTTGTATTTATCAAATGCCTTTGCGAACTCAGATTTTACCATAAAGTAGCAGTGACATCATCACTATGCTGTACATAACTTGTACAGAGAGCAGAGCTGTGGGAGGGACCCATCAGGTCCACAACTACAGGCTGTTTGCAGAAAGCTACGGGAGTGGGTCAGATGCAAGACCGATCAAAATGCACAAGAAGAGAGTGAAGAACTGACAGGTCTGTATTACAGAAATCTCTTGCAGAGGTAACGATTCACACTAGATTACTGCACAGATCTGGAAGAAATACACAAAGCAAACCAAGATTTTATTAAGACTATAAATGCTTCTTATATTTTGACAGTATTTGCTGTTCCCCGAGTTCAGCTTCAACTATTGCACTTACATTGTTGTTGAGACAACAATAATATTTCCCCTACTGAATATTCACAGTTTGCTTATGGGCTTATGAATACAACTGCAAACATTTCCTATTTTTTCCTATTAAAGCGGACCTTTACCCCCCTTGGCTAAATATCCCTTCAGCATACATCATCTTACATTCATTAGTTAACACACATATTTTTATATTACTTACATTTTTTTCTACTTCCTGGTCCTCTTTGGCACAAATTATGTAAGTGTGCCCAAGCATTGCATCCTGGGAAGGTTACATCAGCAGAGCATTGCTGGGAAATCTCAGGGAAAGGCATTCTTCTAACCTGAGATGATGTGCATGGTCACATGTCCTTGTCACATGTGCCAGAGTCCCAGGAAGTAAAGGGACATATAATAATCTGCCCTTAATGAAATGGCCACTGTGAGAAGAATGGGGAGGAAAAAAATAAGGTATGGAAAGAATAAAAAGCCTGAATTGTCTAGAAGTATCTGTTTGTAGATTGTCATAACTAAATGTTTCTAAACATGTCTTTGTTGTCATTTAAAAGATATGGGTAAAGTTATAGTCAAAGATGACCCTCCTGTTACTTTACATTACAAACAAAACAAAACTAGTGGACTCATTATTCCGGAAATACTGAGCTGGGGATGGAGAACAATGGTATTAAGAAATGAAGATGAAAGCATTTAGAGAGGGACATTTAGCATTCAGAGAGGGAGTGTTACGCTGTACTGCTATTTGTACCCTTTTTCTGCCATGTGTACATTTGTTATGACAATAGAAGACATCCCTATTATCTTGCACAATCCCTCTTCTTCAGGAAAAAGGCCTTCCTGCTGTCAGCAGCAACCAATTAGCAGTTGTGAAGAGCAGGAGCACTCCTCCAATATAAAAACCTCAACATTATGGCCACTGAATGGAGCTGAGGATCACAATAAGTATTTCTTTCCTATGCTCCTCACCGCCTTCTAGTGGCCATAATGTGGTATTTTCCGAATGTTACAATGAACCAGAAAAGTAAAAACAACAAAAACGTTTGTTTCACACAGAACAGCTCTGTGAATTGTTGATAAATAGACTACTTAGTGTAGGAGACGTAAAGAAGGACTGCTGCTGTACTGCTTTAAACAAATGGCATTTGGAAGTCTGCATAAGCCTCTTAGATCACATTATAAAGCAAATTTCTCTGGAATATTGAAATATTGAAATTTCTCTGGAATATTGTAAAAAAAAAAAAAGTGTGTGGGGTTCCCCCTTAAACTCATACCAGGCACTTAAGGTATGATAGGAATTTATGGAGGAACCCCACCCCCAAAAATAGTGGGGAAAAACATGGTGTCCCCCGTAAAATTCCATATCAGACTCTTGATCGGAGCACAGGCCTGGCAGGGCCGGAAAGGGGGGGACGAGCGAGCGCCCCCCCACACCAGGCCACATGCCCTCGGCACTGGGAGGGTGTCCCCGTGCTGATGGGAACAAGGGCCTCGTCCTCACAGCCCTGACCCGGTGGCTGTGGGGGTCTGCGGGCAAGGGGACTTATTTGCATCGGGGTACCCCTTTAATTAAGCGGCACCCAGATGCCACCCCCTCCCTTGTGAATGAGTATGGGGTACCTGTACCCATTCACTAAAGGGTTAAAGAAAATATTTATTAAAAAGTCCAGACTTTTGATAAAATCCTTTATTTGGAAAAAAAGACATGTTTTTGACAAGTCTTTTATTTAAAAAAAAAAAATTGATCCACTGACATAATCCATGGCCAATCACGGCATCCAGCGTTGTCCACGACGATGATGAAATAAAAAATAAAACAATAAAAAATAAAGAGAAATATTTTTTTTTTTTTAAACGCCGGCTGCTGTCCCGTCAGTCCTCTCCCCGCCGCATAATGGCATTTTGACAGATGTCGGCAAAACATAAACAATTGGGCGGAGCTAGCGGTGACAGCTAGCTCCGCCCAAATGTGTAGTTTACTGACATCTGATAGGTGAGCCATGATTGGGCAGAGTCATCAGGACTTTGCCCAATCATGGCTCTATTCAATACTGAGCCCTGATTAGGCAGAGTCTTGCACCTGACCTGAGCTACGGAAGGCATTTTGCATTATGGAGCGTTTGTGGTCGAACAAACCGCGAATGTCCCATAAAGTTCGGCTCGAACGGCCGATGTTTGATTTGAACTCATGTTCGAATCAAACATTCAGACCATCCACTGGCGGAACTACCAGGGTCGCAGCGGTCGCACTTGCGACCGGGACCTGGTGTTCCGCCAGTTCAGGGGGGGCCCAGAGAGAAGAGCTTGCCGCCCGCAGCTGCTCACACTGCCCGCAGCTACTCATGCTGCTCGCTGCCCGCTGTGTTTTTTGGAGTCGTGCAGGAAGGGTTTTTTCTTTTTCGGGGGCGGAGCTTGCTTTTTAGCGGGCGGGTGTGAAGAGCTAGGCAGGAGCGGAGACTGCTGGCATGGAAAGAAAGGTAAGCAAGCAGATTTCTGGGGCTGGGGGAGACAGCAGCAGATGTCTGGGGTGGGGTGGAGAGGGGGGCATTTTGGACAGCACAGCAGCCAGCAGCTACTATTTTTTTTTTAACTTGTCCTAGGGGGGGGGGCCTTAATGGTTTCTTGCACCGGGGCCCTGAGGTTTCTAGTTACGCCTCTGAGACCATCCCTACTCCCAAACACTAATTCCCTGTATAGAAGAAAGAAAACATGTTTTCCATTAAAGGTCGAGTCCACCCACAATTGATGACTAAATATACTGTAACAATGCTGAAATTTTGGAGAAATTCTTCCAAATATTCTGTGTGCTTTATATAATATACAGTAGCAGACATATTACATCAGAGCTGTGTTATTTCAGACCAAGTTTGATTTTAACTATTTTTCTGGAAACCTGTAAATTGTCATGCTTTACCTTACAACTGTGATTCAATACAGCTAAATATCAATACAGCTAAAACATCTGGCTGGCTCATAGAAAGTTGAGTATTAAGCTGCTTTCAGAAAAGGCTTCCAGAAATTATTTGGTGCCGAAGATAGAGACGATTGAGTAGTCCCTACAGGAATGGCTTCCATTGGCTATCAATTGATTATCTTCATGAAAAACATCAGCAGCATCCTTGGCATTGTTTTATGTTTCTGAATTGTCATCTAGTAGACCATTCTTTGCATTAAGAGTCAAATGGTGTTAGTTTTTGAAATATACAAACCTAGCAGCAAGTACAGTTTTTTTGAAGAGAAGACTTACCTACTTTGGCTGTGGCTTACTTTTCTGTGCCAGTATGACTAACTTTGTAAACTCTGTTGGAAAGCTATTACTTGACTTTCTTCCCAGTCTTGGTGCAGACCACTTTATAAGATATTTGAAAAGTATTTGTCAGGATAGCCACGGTTTATTTCAACTGCATTATGCAAATCGTTTACCCTATATATTTTTAGGACTTCAGACTGTTGACCTTCCAGCCTTAGTCAGTCCTGCTCATACAAAAAAAGAAACTTAAAGTGACATTAAGGGAAAAAGTTTCCCCCCCACACTGCTAATGTAAGTACTTACCTTAAATCATGTCTCTTAATCCGATCATCTTCTTCTTTCCTGTAGTTTTTAACTGTCCCTCCAGCGCTGGTGAGGGTCTCTGATCCAGCATTGACTCTTCTGTCCTCCTCTTCTCTGATGTCCCACAAAGTCTGTGCGGGTGCACGCTGCTCCATATACTTACCTTGTGTCTCTCCTCATCTCCCGGCCGAACATCTGAACGGCGCATGCGCCCGCCCCAAGATCCTTTTTGGCCGCCTGAGAAATTTTCAGATGTTCGGACAGGAGAGCACGGCAGAGACACTGGTAAGTATTATCCCTTTGAAAAAGGTTTTTTTTTTAAATCGTTTTGCATATATCTACTGCTTGTTAGCAGTAGATATATGCAAAAACAAATGCCATAAAAAATGTTTTCTTGAGCTACCAATTTATAGCAGCATATTCATTTGGCAAAGCAGGCTTTGGGCTTGGTTCCCACTATTTAGTAGTGGTTCTTTTAAGTCAAGGATGAGAGGGAGTAACATTTCTAGGGTCAGTACACTACTATGTTGGGATGAAGAAGCAATATTATAAGGTAAGTATGTATTTATTCCTCAGGCAGAGATAGTGGCACAGAGACAACAAAGGCAACGCTAAATCAGTGATGAAGGACACAGATATTTCAAGGTAATAGTGTATGTGCAAGTAATGTGGACACTGGGAACATTCTCGAGGACACAATGTTAAGTGTTTTTGTTACAATTTTAAAACACTTTAATTATCTACCGTTTTACCACACTTAAGCTATTCGCATATACAACACAATAACATAAGTATGTTAGTTATTTGAAAACATAAGGTTTTTTGTTTTTTTTTAAAGCACAATTATACACAAACTTTTCTTCAGCCAAAATAACACTTTCAAAGTTTTATCGACTTTAGGTTGCCTGTTTACAAACCGCCTGCCACACAGGCTAGTCTTTTGCCACACAGGCTGCTAATCAACACACAGGTCATACG